AATCTTTTCAAAAAGGTCTTTCCTGTTCTTTTATAGCCTTTCCTATTGGATAAAATAAAAGTCAGTGGCGACTCTTGCTATCTGCACATGTTTTTGTCAAACAAAAACACCAAGTCAATTCTCCCACCTTGTTACAAAATGCAATTAGTATGCATCACAAATCATGTAGCATGTGATCAAAGAATGTGCAAGAATGATCATGATCATACAATGCCAAAGATGTAAATAATCGAGAATCAAAAGATCTCATATTGAAAGTTTGCATACATGCTTCATACAAAAGTTAAACAACTCATAAAATATCCACAAATATCAAGCACATCAAGCCATGGAAGTCATATAATAAAAGAACAGCAAACAAGCTTGAAAATAGGCAAAAATGGCATTCTGCCACTGAAGTAATCGGTTACTCTATATCAGGTAACCAGTTACTTACTTAAAATCGCAAGAACAGGTGAAAATTGCCCAGAGTAACCGGTTACTTTGTTTTTCCTAGAAAGTGAGTAACCGGTTACCACTGTGACAGTGGCAAAAACAACTTTTTTTGAAAAATCACTTTCAGCAACCAAAAGACTTATCCAAACCTCCACATGCCATGATTAACACTTGAGCACGAAAAATGAAGTTCAAGATCAATTAGGCATCAACTAAGCTTCAATTGAAAGCATTAAACATGAAGATCAAAGATCAAACAATCACACGATCAATCAACAACGAAAAATGATCGAACTACATCGTAAACGCGCAAAAGTGATCGAAACAGTAAATCAAGTGCGAATTACCAACCTACAAGGTGGAGGAGTGCCTTGGTGATTGTTGTTATTGATATGTGATCTGAACTAAGCAAAGAAACCCAGAGAATTCCAAGTTTGAGATCCAATCATAGCGAAACCGATAAAAACGCGATAAATGCTCCGAATATCGATTTGCACTGAAGAAGCTTGAGATGATTACTTGAAATTGGAAAAGAATCTACCTTAAATCCATAAATCCAAGTAAGAAGATGGTGGAATGAGTTTTAGCTCAAGAGAATAACAATTTCGAGGTGAAGATTGTTACACTCTAATGGTGGAAATTGAGCTTTTGTGAGGGTTTTTGAGAGAGGATGAAGATGAATGTGAAAATATTGTAGAAAATTCAGAGAGAATGTGAGAGTGAAGAATGTATAAATTGAGAAAATGATTATCCAACCTCTTGTGAAATGGTGGTGATTTGCTTATATAGAGTTTTGTTTCGGAGTCGCTAGGTTCGAGATAAGCTTTGGATGCAGCCTTGGAACTAGCCTTGGAGTTAGTTAGCCTCAACTCACTGAGTTGGAGGTTAACTCAGTTAGTTAGGTAGTTGACTCGGTAACCATCTCAATGAAAACTTGAATCTAAAGGCTCACATGCTTAAGAATGAAGCAACATGGTGGTCTTAATCCAAATTGATGTATTGGAGCAAATGCCTTGAAGTGTTTAGAAAGGTCTTGAATTATCCAAAAATGTTTAGAATGTTCCACACAATTCTAGAACAATGTAGACACCCAAAAGTAGAGTGAAAGTTGATGTCACAAAAAATGCAACAAAAATTGCATTTTTACACAGAGTAACCGGTTACTCTGTTTTGCCTAGAAAATGGGTAACCGGTTACTTCAGGCAAAAATTTCATATTTGCTTGAAAAATGGTGTTGTGGCCACGGTTCCGATTTTCAACCTTTTGCTTTGATGAATAGGCATAGAAACCTTCATTTTATGCTTGTTTTGGTGATGTGATATCTTTGAAAGGATGTGATTAATCGGGCTTGCAAAACCTGAATATTCCTGCAACAAAAAATCACAGAGAAAAAGTGAGAATGCGTATGTTAAGGATACGAATGCACATGTTTATGCAAAAGGCAAGGAGGAGGTCAAATTTTGAGTTACGACAACTGCCCCTATTTAATCTTCTTGGATCTGAGTATTCGAATTGTGTCAGCTTTTTGATTATTCGAGGTGGGAGGAGATTAAATAAAAGAGTAGCTCGAAATATTTGGCCGACAACGACTGGTAGGGGAGAAGGTAAAAATTTGTTCAAGAGCAAGGTTTGGCTGAGATCCGATGGGGAGATTAATCAGTCAAAGGGAAGTATGCTATGATGCATATGTTATGATGTTCAATATGATGCTTGATATCATGCTATGCAGCGGAAAAGGTCGAGATGTGGTTTCTCCGGCGGACAGAGATTGTAGCAAAATAAACTCGACATCCTCAACTAGGGAACCGGACGATGCTGCTGGGGAAAGAGCTTAGAAATCTCAGACTTCCAAACTATTACCAACACTGTTGCTGGAGAGAAATGAACTTTCTAACCATAGATGACCCTGACTGAAGAATGAAAGAATCATGGCTGATCTTCAACTAATCAACTCTTCTTGGGAAAGAAAAAAGAGTTAAGATGATCAAAATGAAGCAACATCACCGTTGGGGATTGACAACCTCGATTTGTTGGGATGCTGCAAGAAATTTTTCTTTTACTGGGGAAAAGCAAACAAGTATCTGCTTGGGGAATACGACTCTCCTGAGGAAATGAAAATCAAATCCTTCCCTATAACCAAATTGATGCATATTGGTGAAAAGGAACGCAGTTGGCAGTCCCAACCAAACATGATATTGTTGACCGAGAATCAAGTTTTAAAAAGGAAAACTACCAATCTTCCTTCGATAATTCCCGGTAAATCATGCAATGCATAATGTTTTCCTGGTTGATTTTAACTTTTATGTTTCTCAACGCTTTATAGCATTATGTGATCACAAATAATTGTTCAATTTGCAAATAAAATATTGAAAAGAGACAAATGAGAAATCAAAAGATAAACATTTTATTGAATGTAAAAAGTTTTTGTACATAAGATGTGCACAAGGATGTAAAAATCCTTGATGAGGAAATTTAATAAAATTGAAAAACAAAGTAAATGGCAATTGAAAATTTGACTTTGAATTGATTACAACATTGGCTACCATCCCCTACAAGTCTGAGTTTCAACATTGTGCGTCAGTTGATGATGACTTGACTGATCATTTCTCGTTTGAGATTTAGCCATGACGAAGATAGGCTCAGGTGTTCATGGTCAAATGCCTTTATCCCTAATTTTTGCCTGGACATTTCTATTTTTTCGTCCACCGGGATACCCATTTTTGCCTAAGTCACCCTTTCGAGTTTTCAACTTAGCGGGTTTTTATTGTTTTTTATTGTGAAATTCAATCAATTTCTCCAAAATAGATTTATTCTCCACAGTGTGCGTTGCTTGTTCTTAAATGAAGTTAAACAAATTAAAAACTACAATGTGTGAGGCAAAGAACAATCAGAACTCATACTAAACAACCTCAAGCAAAACTAATTTAATAACTAAGTGCAAGCAAAATCATAATAGAAAGAACAAGAAAAAAACAAGAACAGACCTATATTATTTATCTTTGATCCAAAATTATCTACTCATACAAAGAGGACAGTTCTCCTATCCAAACAAACCAATAGTCTTCAATGAGACATTACAAACAAATTACAAGAAAATAGATCTCTAAATACATTAAACAACTCATATTTCCTACGCAATTTGTAACCCAATATCTTCTTCTCTTAATACATAAATCACACAAATTCTCAATGTATTATGAAAAGTTTTTGAAAATTTATACTACAACTAAAGATAAGTCAATTTGTAAAATGAATCTTTAAGCTTGTCTCTTTAAAATATCTGTTATACCTATAAAAATGACAACAAAAAAAACACTTAAAACTAACATGGAAACCTAGGCAAGAGCCTCGGGTGCTAGGCAAGGGTAAAAAGTCCAAAAGAATATTAAGTCACCTAGCAGGTGAGACACTGGCAAAATCAACTTTAAGTATTGTTAAAAATACAACTGTGATAGAGCTTTTGATTATGACACCCATAGATATGGATGTGGTGTCATTTTTAGAAATTATGAAAAGACTTTGCAAAAAACTGCCTAAATTTGCCGTTCTACAGGTTCATCAATATTTGAATGGGTTTTTGGCATAGTGCTCCCCCAATTATTTAACTTTTTATATATTATCATCTTATTCAAAACAAAAAATGAGTTTCTTAAAACACACTAACATAAATTCAACGGGATAATCTTTCACAGTTAATACAAAACAGACGAGGAAAATCTTCCACCATTTATGTCTTGTTTCTTTGTTTTTGTCTTGTACAAATCTTGATGTCCCCTTAGCATCCACTTCGGTTTCCGCTCCAAGTTACTCAAATACAAAAGCCTGTCCAAACAACTATGTTCATTCAAGCTTCGAATATCACAAAATCCAACACTTTTTAATTAAGTTTAATCCTCATTGACACTTGTGCATAACACGAATATTTGACACCAACTTATTCTTAATTTTTGTCACCAACTCATTGTTCTTATTAGCGTATGTATGTGCTTTGTTCATCATGGTGTTAACAATAATAATATAAATTGTTATCATTATTTACTACCGTATCATCATTTCGGACGGCAAAATAGCTGTTCAATTGTATCATTCTATTTTGTAATCTTCAAAGAGCACAAGTAAATTTTGTAATCAAATAATGAAATCTAAAACCACCGCAGTTAGTAAATGTCGCATTCACGCAATTAAGATATTTATAATCATTACATCGAGATCAGACGATTCAAATGTAATACAAATATTAAACTAACTCCTATTGTTTTTAGTTGGAATATATTAATTAAGTTAGTGGCAATATTTTGGAATTAAAGTTAAACTCCATACTAATTCTAATAGTTGAAAATCAAATGTAAAATGCATTGACTTAGTAAAATAATTAGTTAGCATGCCATGTCTTAAAACGCGTCTGCTCTAAAATTTTAAGTTTATTTTTGTTTTCTTAATTTTTATACCAAGCTGGCTTTGTTTCTTTCCTTGTTAAAACATTCTTGTTATACACATCTTTGAAAATTTTTATTATTTGATTCTTGTTTCAATTCAATATCAGAAAAAAAAAAGTATTTTGAGTAATGGAACATCAACATAAACTGTTTCCTCTTCTGGTGTTACTTCTGTTCCAAGTTATGATTGTTGCTTCACAGACAGATAGTGGAGATTGTAAGTTTTTATGACATAGAATGTGAAAATCTATGTTTGTGTAGTTTGAAGTTATGAGCAACATTGTTGGAGAGTTTAGTTTCTAACAGAAATTCTGTTGTTGCAGTTACGGCTCTTTCGTCTCTCATACAATCGTGGAAAAACAAACCGTTAAATTGGGTTGGTTCTGACCCTTGTGGAAGTGAATGGGATGGAATTCGTTGCGCCAATTCTAGAATCATTGAACTGTTAGTTCTTGGATTCTTTGTTCCGTTCGAGTTGAGTTTTTCTTACTTTGTAGAAACTAATTGATTCTGAAAAGAGTGCTAATTTTTTCAGGAAATTACCTGGCTTGAATTTGGAGGGTCAACTATCTTCAGCAATTCAGTCCTTATCTGAACTCGCTATGCTGTAAGTTTTCTACTTCTCATTTGAAATTTTTTCAATATTCAGTTGTAAGTTAAACTAATAACATGTTGCTTTTGTTCATATAGAGATCTTTCGTACAACGCAGGCATGACAGGAACGATTCCGAAAGAAATTGGAAATTTGAAGAACCTCAATTCCTTGTGAGTAAAGAAAAATAAATTTCGATACAAACTTAGTTTCTTCGTTGAATTAGTATGATTTTGATATTGATATGTTTCGTTTTAACTGTTTTTTTCCAGGGCATTGGTTAACTGTGGTTTCTCTGGTCCTATTCCTGATTCAATAGGTTCTTTAAGAAAGCTGACCTTTTTGTAAGGATTCCAACTTCTTAGTTCTGCTATATCATGTTCATGGACTTAGATAACGCATTTACGCGTTATTGATTTTCATGCAGAGCGCTGAATTCGAATAAGCTCAACGGAAACATTCCGCGCACTCTTGGCAATCTAGCCATCCTTGATTGGTTAGATCTTGATGATAACCAGCTGGAAGGGTCTATTCCTGTCTCTGATGCTCAAGGGCAACCAGGTCTTGACATGCTCCTTAAGGCCCAGCACTTGTATGTGTATTCTCATTCTCGATTTTTCTACTTGATATTTCTACAATAACGTTTCATTTCGGTGAATGATCGAATGTTATGTCTACTTCTTGCAGTCATTTGGGGAACAATAAACTCTCAGGTCCAATACCACCAACACTTTTTAACTCCAGCATGATTCTAGAACATGTGTAAGTTGAAATTAGCTTCCGTATTCCGTAACTTTCGAATTATTCTATTTAAAATATTCAAAAATATCTATAAATTTATAAGGACGGTTTGTATTTGCCAGGCTTTTCGACCACAATCAACTATCCGGCAGTATTCCTGGCAGCCTAAGCCTTCTGAGCAAAGTGGAAGTTGTGTAAGTATATTGTGGCTTCACTTACAATCTCACAATTTATGTTATCTCTGAATTTCTTTGGCTGAATTGAATATTCTCTCTTGTATGCAGACGCTTTGACAAGAATCGGTTAAGCGGGAGAGTGCCTAACAGTTTGAACAATCTCGAAAAACTAAGCGAAATGTAAGAAAATCAAAGAAACACGGCTTGTTAAGCTTCATATTTATCACTAAATCATTTTCTAAAGAATCAATTTTTTGTATTGAATATATTTTTGCAGCTATTTATCTCACAATGAACTGAACGGCTCTCTGCCGGATTTTACTGGAATGACTCATCTCACATACGTGTAAGTAGTATAACACGGACGTTACGTTGTACTTTATTTATCGCTTTGAAAGGAGATCGAATACTTAATTATAATCATATGATCTACAAGAAATGCATGATTAGTTTCATTCAACAACTATATGTAAAACATAGGCATATAAATCATGCATTATGCATTATGCAGTGATTTTAATTTGCAGATTCTTAAGAAAAAACTGTTTTCAGGGATCTGAGTGACAATAATTTCAATTCTTCTGATATTCCTTCATGGGTTTATGCTTCTAGTCTGCCAGATCTGACGACAGTGTATGTTTCTCCATCCTTCTCACATTAGACCAGTTTATATTTTGAGCTTATTTCAATGAGCTTTTCATGAAAATCAGCTTATGCATAGTTACTGAAATTTGTCTAACAGAATACTGAAGGACAACCAGCTTAGTGGCACATTAAATCTCAGCAGTGGCTACAGAAGAAGTCTGCAACTCATTGATTTGCAAAACAATGGTATTACCGACCTCGAGATGGGAAACCAGAAATTGAATTTCGACTTGAGGTAAGCTTCATTATACATATGATATCGTTTTTTTGGATGGACTCGAACTACTTGACACTGGTTTTCGTTCTGAGAAATTTATCGAATGTTTTTGCAGACTGGCTCAAAACAAGATTTGTCTTGAAAATGGAGTTTCTAATCAGGTTTACTGCAAAGCTCCTCAAGTCGTTCCCTCGTATTCGACACCAACAAATGATTGTTCACCTCCTTCATGCAGTAACAGTCAAATTCCCAGCCCAAACTGTAAATGTGCATTTCCCTACATTGGAAATCTATCATCCAGAGCTTTTAGTTTTTCGAATTATAGTAACACTAGTTACTACACGGAAATTGAGCAGTCGTTGATGAGTACTTTTCGAAAACAAAATATTCCAGTGGATTCAGTTTCTCTTAGTAATCCTATCAAGGTTACATCTACTGATAATTTTCAGTTGACTCTTAATGTCTTTCCGTCTCAAGCCGATCGTTTCAATACCACTGGAGTTTCAACCGCTGCTTTCGTGCTTAGCAACCAAATTTACACGCCTCCAGCATTTTTCTCCCCTTACATCTTCATTGGTCTTAGCTATTCATATTATGGAGGTGATTTTCCGAATTAACTACAAATTCTGAATTATTTGTCTATTCTGTCTTATTTCTTCTAACTAATTGTGTCATTTTTATGTTACTTAGGAGAACCTAAGGGATCAAAGTCATCGAATACAGGCGCAATAATTGGAGCGGTAGTTGGTATATTGGTCTTTATTGTACTGGCGATCCTTATAGGGATATACATTATTCGCAAAAAAAGAACAAGATCTTCTGAGTTGAACCCTTTTGGTAAGAACTGGTTACTCCAACCTTGGCCTAGTTTGAACTTAGCAAGAAATTTTTCTGTTAGTGTTTTTTGTTGATTCGACTATCATTTTTAATGCAGTAAACTGGGAACAGAACAAGAATAGTGGAGCTGCTCCGCAGTTGAAAGGAGCGCGATGGTTTTCATTTGATGAGATGAGAAAATACACCAACAATTTCGCAGAAGCCAACACTATTGGATCGGGCGGCTATGGACAGGTTTTTGTTAATGACATCACATACCTTCGCTTTTATTCAATCCTATGTCTTCTTTTATATCGAAAGAGTTTCATTGAAATCGTTTATGCCAGAAACATTCACCACGAGTATTTTTCCAAATTGTCCGCTTTTTGCTTACAGCAAAATCTAATTAGTCATCCTTATTTAACAGGTTTACCAAGGTGCTCTTTCCACTGGAGAATTGGTTGCAATCAAAAGGGCTGGAAAAGAATCTATGCAGGGTGCTGTAGAGTTTAAAACTGAGATTGAACTTCTATCAAGGGTCCATCATAAGAATCTTGTTAGTCTCGTTGGCTTCTGTTACGAGAAAGGCGAACAAATGCTCGTCTACGAGTACGTCCCGAATGGCACTTTAATGGACAGTCTTACAGGTACTTCAATTTCTTCAACAATCTGCATGTACCATATGGTATCATAATACACTCAAATATGTGTTCGAATTTGTCTCTGCAGGAAAATCCGGGATATGGATGGATTGGATAAGGAGGCTCAAAGTTACATTGGGTGCCGCCAGGGGGCTGACCTATCTACATGAACTTGCAGACCCACCAATCATACACAGAGACATAAAATCAAGCAATATCCTACTCGATAATCACCTTGTCGCTAAAGTGGCTGATTTCGGTCTCTCCAAACTTCTTGTTGATAGCGATAGAGGCCATGTTACTACACAAGTCAAAGGAACCATGGTTTGTGAAATATGCTTTTCACTATCATCTTTAAATAGCCTTAAATTGAAATTGAAGCTAATGAAAACATGTTTCCTTTTATTCTATGAAGGGATACTTGGATCCTGAATACTACATGACCCAACAATTAACAGAAAAGAGTGATGTATATAGCTTCGGAGTGCTAATGCTGGAGCTAGCAACATCAAGAAAGCCAATAGAGCAAGGAAAATACATTGTAAGAGAGGTAATGAGGGTAATGGATACATCGAAAGACTTATACAACCTTCATTCGGTTCTCGATCAAAGCATACTCAAAGGGACAAGACCAAAAGGTTTAGAGAGGTATGTGGAACTTGCATTGAGGTGTGTCAAAGAGTATGCAGCTGATAGACCTTCAATGGCCGAGGTTGCAAAAGAGATCGAGAACATAATCGAGCTTGTTGGAGTGAACCCGAATTCTGAATCAACTTCAACAACGGAAACTTATGAGGAAGCGGGTGCGGGGGAGGGTAAGCATCCTTACGTGAATGATGGTGAATTTGAATATAGTGGAATGTTTCCAACAATAAAGGTAGATCCTCAATGAGTTTTGGTATGTTTTCTTTTGTAAAGCTTTTGTCTCTTGAAGTGAAACCATTGAGGTCTAGGTGTGTCAATTTTGGATTGAACTCCCATAGATGGTGCTTTAGAAAAGTACATTCATAGCATGAAAGTGTATATTATTAACATCAACAATGGCTTTGCTTGAAGGTTGTAATTTGTACTCTAGACATGAAAATATTCTTGTGATTTTTTTTTTTATTTTGTAATATATTTGAGTTTGATGATTGAATTTTAAAAAGACGACATGTTTATTTAATTTTTCTTGTTTCTACATAAATAACAACTCTTGGCTATTTGACCCAAGATACTTGAACTCTGAAGCACAAAATCTCTGGGATTAAGGCGACTTAGGGTGTCCGGCGTCCAAACGACACTCATTTGATAAAGACATATGTTGGACTAAGTGTTGTACTTTTTTTTTTTACTTTGTCACACTTTAAATATTTGATCGCGACTTTCTATGTCAAACAATTATAACTGCAAGTGCACAGTCTATCGCGTAATAATAAAAGATATCGATCCCACAGGGACTCGTAATCAATCTAGTGTTCTCGGGTGTTACTTTGTTTAGCTAGGTTGGTAAGGTATTGAGGGGAATAAAACTAAAGAAGTACGCAAATTTAAGGGTGATTAGAGATGTAATAACTTGAATCGGTATGTAGTATGTTAGTTCTTAGGGATTCGACGAATTATCGGTATACAAGAAGTTTTCAAAATGGTTTAAGAAGAAAATGACAGTTCAAAGGCTCTAGTCTCACGAGGGTTGTTGACTCGACCATAATTTCAAGGGTCAAATGTACGCTTTCGCTGTCCCATTCGGGGTCAAAACTAATTTTTGAAAACTATTAAATTCCAATCCTTTTAAAAGGCTTTCGCGGTTTTTAAAATGATCCTTAGTCATTACTATCTGGTCCTAACCGCAGCTGTCGCTTGTTGGTTGTACCTTTATTAATCTCCCACTGTCGTGGCAAAACTACTTTTAAATAAGTTCTCGCTGTCGCGACGAACAGTTATTTAGTGAATTAAAATTGAAAGCTAAGGCAGTAAACGTGTTTTGAAATGAAGTTAGTATGCCGAACATTATCGAATCCCGTCAGAGTTACCACTACATACCGATTACTATAGTTTAGCCGGACATGGAAATAGAAACAGTAATGCGTAAATAAAAGTAAGAAATGATAACGTAAATCATATTGAGAAACATAATTCAATTAATGATTGCTATAAAGAACCTATAATAAATCCCAATTGGTCTTTGGGGAAATCCTCCACAATGTCGGCAGGATTCAGCTCAGTACCAATTGATAGTACAGATACAATGAAATGGGAAGAAATGGGAAATACAAGAAACTGAAAATAAAAGAACGATAAAAGAAAACAAGCAGGGAAATGAAAATAAATGTTTTTGGGATAATTGGGCAGCACTTCGTGATCGTAGATGCAGCCCCCCTTTTCTGGTATCTGCCTCTCCCTTTTATAGATGAGATGCTTTAACGGTTGTTTCACCAGAAGGTGGAGTTGAGGGCATGGAAATAGGAGCTTAGTGGTCCACTTCCTTTGACTTCTTCAGACTTGGAAAATGCCACGTGAGTTTTCTGAGTTTGGGATGCGTGACGGTCGTTAGGGACCTGTGACGGTCGTCATGCAGTGGAAGTTCGCTTCTGCTGCATTTCTTGCGTGTTTTTGCTGTTTTTCTTCCATAATTGCTTCCTTTCTTCATTTTGCCTCAATATGGTCTTGAACTTCAATTACCTGCAAAATACTGGACAAACAACGTGAAAGAACCCGATATCGGTGTAAAAATAGTTAATAATAAATGGAAATACATGTCATTTTATATATACGATTTCGCGTTATCAAACTCCCCTAAACTTAAACCTTTGCTTGTCCTCAAGTAAAGCAGTAAGAAATTTTAAAGATTTGCAAATCACGCGACATGCCGCTCTTTCGAGGGGATTTTTCAACAGTCAAGCTAGGGAACCAGGAATCAATAAAAACAACACGTATACTGTGATGACACTGGGTTTTGAGCCTTCGAAGGCCTTCACTTTATGTAAGTCAGTCTCAATCATATATCGTTTCTCGGTTTCAAGTCTTTGGCACACGTTTTTACCCTGTTTGTTCTGGCGCAATCACATTAAGCCCGTTATTCGTACACGTTTCATGGTGAATAAACCTGTTAGTGAATGTGACCACTAGATTATTTTTCTTTGCTTTTTCTTCGTACATATGCTTATTTGCCTTTTAGTATCAAAGAATTTCTGTACCATTGGGCTAAATGCTCGGATGAGGAGCACCTAACTTAGAAGGAACATGATTCTATATTGAAGCTGTACGGTCTTTTTTCGCGAATTTACATCCGTCCTTTTTACTAGAGATCACGCACTTATTTGCATCGGTTTCTCACTTAAAACGTTTTAGGATGGTGCTGACTGCTCGTATAAACTACTGGGGGTTACGTGTGACTGTAAACGTGAAGCTTTGGTACTGATAAGTAGTGAAACTGATTCGCATAACTTGGAGGTCTAAGGTGTCAAGACGGTATTGGTTTTGTTAAACTTTTCTTCTAGGTTGTCCGAACTTGGTTGTACTTTGAGTGTGTGATGTGATGCTTTTTGAGGATTGCGTAAAAGTTTTTAAAATGTGAGTTGAATAAAGTATGGGGATTTCGCATAACGGAAATAGTATATAAATGATTGTTATTTGCTGACATTTAAATTGCTTGGAATTGAAATTGACTAAAAACGAAGTAACAATACAAAGAAGTAACGGAAAGGGAAATAACGGTCCGCTCCCACACTACCCCAATCAGTGTCCTCACTGATTTGAAATAGAGCAGGAGAGAAAAATACAATGGAAAGAAAGGAAACATAATGGGAAATAAAAAATTAAAATTAACTAATCGCGGCCCCGGCCTCTGTCTCGTCCTCTGCCTCGGGCGCGGTCATAGCGTCCTGCCATATCCAGATCACGGGACCCGAAAATGTAGTCGGTCAGGCCCTCGAACCTTTGGTTGAGTTCGTCGAGTGAAGAGAACATGTCGAGGCGATCGCTACGGAGAAGGCCCATGGTGCTGAGGATTTGTTCGTTTTGTTCCCGTTGATAGGCGTTTTGCTCTCGTTGATAGGCTTCAAATTGTTCAGCTCGCTGATTCTGCTGTTGCAACATGGTTATAATCTGAGCTTGTTGGTCCATGGTGCGGCGAATGTCATCAGATGTGTAATCAGCGTCAGGACGGCGCCGGCGGCGCTGTGAAGGTCCTTCAGAAGGAATATGCTGAGAAGCTGCAGCAGTCTCGGCCTGATCTAATTCAGCCCGAACCTCATCCACAGGCTGCTGTGGAGCATCCTGAGTCGGGGCAGCAGCGGCGTCAAGATCAAAAAGCCAGTTGTTGCGGTCCTCGGGGTGGATACCGGTGCGGGAAGGTAGGGTGATGCTTTGAATGGTGCGGCCACGGACTACCTGGTGATATTTCCCATCCCTGCGAGAGCGGATGAGGTGGGAAAAACGACAATGGTCGATGTCGAGGAATGCGGGAGGAGTATGGTGGAGGGTTTGGAGTTGATCGCCAAGTCCAAGCGCTAAGGCGATCGAGGTGATGATACCGCCAAGGTAGAACGGTTTGGACCCTCTGTTGCAATTGGCCTGAATGTGAGACAGCAGAAAAGGAGCGGTGTTGACGGGCTCCGAAGCGAACACGCACCGGAGGAAAAAGAGTTCCTTTGAATTGACCTTGTGGTTGCTGTCGCGGGCGAAGATGGTGTTGCCCAACACTCGGTGGAAGTAGCGGATTTCCGGATTGTGAATGTGCGTGGCATGGAGCGTATCCCAAGTGTCGGCGTCAGTGCCGGTAAGTTGGTTCCAGAGAGGGAAAGCCTCAGCATAGAACTGATCAGATAAGCGGCGGTGAGCATCGTCGCCGTGATGAAAGCGCAGCAATTCAGCGAGGGAGTCCTGAGGAACTTGATATTCGGCGCCGAACATGCGAAAGCATGCGGTGTCGGTCAGATGTGAAGCATCGCCGGTAGGGGTCTGGTAGGCGAAGGAACTGAGAAACTCCAGTGTGAGTGTCTCGTATGTAGGCTGGGGATGTGTACAGAGGTGCCAGATACCGGCTCTCTGCAACATCCAAGTGACGCCGTCGAGTAATCCGAGTGCCGTCAGTGATTCAATGTGGACGTAACGGGTCGGTTGGAGCGACCGTTGACGGAATGAGTCGAGGTTTGCACGTTGGCGTTCACCAGCGTCGCCGTTTCGGAAGGTAATGCTGTCGATTTCGGCCATTGCTGGGATTGGGAATTTGGTGCGGAGAAATTTGGGGCAAATGGATACGAGGGATTTGGAGAATATGTTGATGGTAGAGTAAAAATTTGGAAGTTGGAGATGATAAGTGGGTGGTTTTGAGGAAAATCGCAGGGGGTTGACGGTTTTTGAGAGATGGGAGAGTGGGGATTGAAATAGTGGGAGGGGGAGGGTTTCGTAAGCCCTGTTTTGGAAAAAAAAACTGACTCAGGTCGTGTGACGCTCGTCACGGGTGTGTGACGGTCGTCACACGCATGACGCTCGTCACGGGTCTGTGACGGTCGTCATGGCCTGCGAAGTTGCAGAGGCTCAGATTTCGTGGTATAAGGGGAATCGACAATGCGTTTTAGGAAATAGCAGGAAAGGAAATATGGAATGGACGATAAAAACGAAGGCGGGGTGTAATTAAATATGCGAAACTTTATTGAAACAGTACATAAATAAAAAATAATGCGAAAAAAAAAACGTAAAAGTGCGGAAAGAATGCGGAAAACAGTAAATAATGGGAAACTAAATAAGATAGAAGAAATAAACTAAACAATCCTAAGGTTTCTTCAACTTCTCGAACCGCTGAGTGATGGCGTCAAACTGGTCGCTGACTACTTCGAGAATAGTGGCGACATCCGAATGAAGTAGTTTCAGGTCAGCCTTCATAGTGGTCAGGTCCAATTTAAATTCTTC